TTTTTCTTTTTCTTTTTCTTTCTTCGATGTTATTATTTGCTGGTCGCTTCGGGGGATCACTCTTGCACTTTTGGAAAGGGCCTGACTCTGTCCATATCCTCGGATATGACGTACTTGGGTTTCACATCAGGCTTGTGTATATTGATTGTGGCTTACGAGCGAGTTGTGACGGTTTGGAACAAAGTCTCAGCTCTTCTACTACCGTATATATCGGAAGCCAAAGAAAAGAACAAAAATGAGAAATAATCACAATGTCTATATTTTCCATATGGCATTCTGGTTTGGCAATCCTTGACACGACTTCTACGAGGCAATGTAACCTCAATGTGTTATTAAGTGATCTGAGTTCTTGGTGAATAAGGCCAGTCAAAGTTACATGTTCAATCATCGATTGTCAAATCCACACAAGTTTGTTTTTGTTTTGGTCGGACAATGATGCTTTGTTCAGGTCATGGGGTCTGAGCACGATGTCTATTTTCAGTGTTCTTTGTGCGGATTTATACATCTCGACTTTGAGTTATAACCCACCGCGGCGCACTTTTGATCAAGTCTTGTTGACCAGAAAATCACACACGACTTCATAACAGCCATGACTACCGACCATTCTCACGACTCTCTTTTGGCTGACATTGTCCAGGAGCTCGATCCCAACGCACCACCTGCTGCTCCCCGCGATTTGATATCAACTGTCTCGTCACTTTTTGTCCAACGTCGGGAAAAGCTTCGCAAGGAGCGACGTGCACACAAAGATGCTGCGATAGATGCTGCATTTGCTACTGCTCGAGCGGTAGCGCGTAAGAAAGAAGAGGCAACGCAAGAGGCACTGGCAGAAAAGAAGTATAGACATGACAGAGCCCTCAGCCGCCCCCGCCCTCGAGTCAAAGATATCAACCCTTCCAAAAAGGAGATCGATGATCTCATTGAAAAAGAAGTTGCCAGAGAAGCGAAAGGCCGTGGCTTACAGCCCGCCAAGGGCGAAACGGAGAAAAGGTACGAAGAGCGAATGAGGGCCCTTGAGGATCGCGTTGATGATCTCGACTTCATTGAGCAAGAGCGCATGCAACATGATCCTACTCGTTACATAGAAGGTTTCCCAGTCAATCTCGTCCTTGTGCATCGCCACTTTCGTCTTTCTCCCCGGATTCCATTCGCTGATTTTGCTTGCCTTCAGTGCAAGGCTCTGGGAAGACGATGCGGACGCAGGAGTGACGATACATATTTCTGCGAGCGTTGTTATAGGAACAACAGAAGATGCCTAGTCAAGCATCACACAGAGTGTGAAGAGGATCATGCAGGGACTTGGAAGTTTGCTCCACTTCAGAGGTGTCGACATGATCGTCTGAGGGATGAGATTTGGAAATGGATGGGAAAGCTACAGCAGCGAAAGAACGGGGGCGATGGTATCAGACCTTGGCCAGCATGGCATACAAAAGGCCCAGACGGCGAGTTGGATACGCAGAACATACCTAAAAGGTGGCAGGATTATTTCGAGTCAGCTTCAAAGGGGAAGGATAAGTAGAAGTTACGTGACGGGGTCGAAGAAGACATTAGGAGAAAGAATTGATTTGTCTCTGTTTAAATATCACCATGCAGTCCCATCCTCTGAATTTACCATTGCCCATCGATCTGAAAAGTTCCCATCACTTCAAAAATCCGGATGCTCTAATATCACCATTGTGTCATTCATTGCACTCCAGTACGAGGTGTGATTTGCAACCTCGACTTTTCCCATGATGGTCTCAAAAGATAAAAAATAGATTGCCTGCGCAACAGCGTAGGCCAAACCTTTCCCACAAATTCTCTTTATCATCATCGTCTTCCACTGGGTCCTAGAAATGTCCTTAGAATCGACTCCGAATTCCGATGTCTTCATGTTTCATGAGAACAGGATCAACTTTATGGGGTCTATATAAAGTACCGGCTGGTAGGAGACCCCGTGCTTACTGGAGAGGTAGATGGACTATCATGAAGAGATATTAACAGAAGGTTATCATGAAAAGGAAGGTTTGAACCAACCTGGTCATCACGTCTCTCAAGCTATAGCAGTCAAGCTTTTGATGCCGTGAAATCGGGGCGAGGTCGGGTAACGACCAGGGTATCGGCCTGAGTGCACCTTGAGGCTTCCAAGAAGACAAGACGACTTTTTCAAGACGCTTCAATAGTTCTGCATTCTTCTTGTTGTCACGTAGCCACTTATGTTTCTTCGCTTCTTGAGCGCTGATTCTGTGTAAAGGATTCGGCTTCAGGCAGCTCCGAACAAAGTTGACTACGTCAGAAGAAGGCTTTCGTGGCAGATAGCTGAAGATTCGTGTGACGTATTGGCGGATTTCCTCTTCATCCAAACTGCTGAGCATTGTATCATGACGGTCAGATACTAGAAGGGTGAAGGCAACAACGCCCAAAGACCAGATATCAACAGCTGCTGTATGGGCTTGGCTGTTCGATACGAATTCTCTGCATTTTCTCAGTTCTTGTCACATCTTTATTGTTTGCGTGACGTACGGTGCCTGGTAGCCAGAAGTTCCAGCATTTGTAGTCATTCTGCTACGTCGAGGGACCGCAGAGGTGCCAAAGTCTGAGAGCATCACTCGATGGTGAGTGATCTTTGGAGAACATGCCAGTAGGATGTTTTCTGGTTTCAGATCGCGGTGCACGATTCCTTTCCGGTGGAGATAGTGAAGACCTTGAACTACTTGGCGAATGATGATTCTGGACTCGGACTCCTTGACAGTGCCACGCCGCATAATGAATGACATGAGGTCTCCACCTGCTGCAAGTTCTGTGAAAGTGTAACTGACACCATCAGCTGGCCATCCAGTATAGATTGAATCCACTTACAGTGTATGAGGAGAGGATATCGCATCCACATAAGAGAGGATGTTGGGCTGGATCAAATTAGTGAATGCTTAGGCAATAAGGGTAGGAGAATTTCAGCTCCTGAGTGCTAAGATAAGAAGTTCAGGTTTGGTAGAGTAGCTGTGGTATCAACTCTTACACCAGTAGGTGCTAATTACTGCTATCCTGAGATGACGTTACTCACATGTTGCAATTGTCGCAAGATGTCCGTTTCCTGGAACTTGCGTCGGATGTCGTCTTGGGCGTTCTTCCCACGGATCTTGTCCAAGTTGATCAACTTGCAGACCAACTGCTTTCCGGTTTCAACGTCATTGGCGAGACATACGACAGCCTCTGCCCCTTGACCGAGACAATGATCGGTTACCCGATACTTACTGGCAAACAGCTGGTAATAGTTTAGCCAAAGCGACTCAGATGAAACTTTAACTGAAGTCGGGCCTACCTTGCACTCCTCTTGTTGCAGGGTTGTCAGCTCATGGCGGGGAGATGGTTGATAATGAACGACTGTAAGCTTCTAGTAGGGTCGAATTTCAATCACATCGCCATGTTGCAACAGGTATCCGGGGCTGATATCTGGTCCAGACCCAATGGTCTTCCCATTAACCAGGGTGCCGTTTGAGGACTTTCGATCTCGAACGTAGATGTGATTGACAGTTGGTTCATATACAACAACGTAAACCTCGCAGTGATTTCGTGAAACCATCATTTCCAGATCATCATCGATCGCCAGCGTGCTATGGTTCTTTGTCAAAGCTAGAATGCCATTGGGCATTTTTCTTACTTACTTGGAACGAATATCCCGACCAATCTTGAAGATCTGCCGTTCGTACACGGGATGCAGCTCTGGGAGTCAGGTTAACAGCTGTCACTGACGAAAGGGGTGAAGATTATATCATATCGTGAGATCTTTTTGCTCTCATGGAGAACGTACGCTGAGACTGGTTGTTGCTTCTCGTATCAACCAGGTGAAGATACGCGGCGGGAACCTCCTGCGATGGCCGTGTTATGGCTTGGTCCATCTCGATGCTCATTGAACAAGTGCTCATGTAAGTGATTTGCTGCATAGGTTGAGTGAACAAGCAGTATTGGCGAAGAATTCAATAAAACATAGAATTTATTTGGACTTTTGATAATGAGGAGGTTATTCACATGACTTCATCATGGTAAGTGATTTTTTTACTCGAACCTCAGCTTATTGTTAATCAACAATACCTAGCCTCCCCATGCCTTCCTTCCCATTCAAGAGGGCACCCCTGGTACGTAGTGCACCTGTACTGTGCTTTCTACAGTGCGCAGTTGTGACGCACGGCTCCACAGTCACGTGCCTCTGCTTAGGGCATCGGTCGGTCCTGCCAAATAAATTTCGGAAATCTCTCCGCTCCAGAAGTTGTTCTTTATCCCAACACGATTCTCATCCACGAAAGAGTAAGTTTACGCGACCCTACCCTGGCTATGCATGGGCTAGTAGCTTCTGGAGATATTGAGCTGAGCTCTTTGCCATTATGAAACTGCTTGCTCACAGCACTTTGTGAGCGCACAGCTGCTAACATTCAACAGCATCGTCGATCAAGATGAGAGCCAAATGGAGAAAGAAGCGGGTTCGCCGCCTTAAGCGCAAGAGAAGAAAGATGAGAGCTAGATCGTAAGTTGTGCCGTCTCCGTTGATACCATTACTGTCGCTAACTATCCACGAAGCAAATAAACGCATCGCATCTCAACCTGACTTGACTCATCTTTCATGATGTCACGACTTCACACGCCTCAACGATACTTTGGCCGAAGCAGGGCACTCGCCATTCTGGCGCCTCTGGGACCTCCCGCGACGCACTGAGCTGGGATTTGACTTTGGGAACTACGTCAGAGTGGTTGAACCCCGCACTTGAGCGGCTGTTAGGGCACACAATGGACATTACGAAGGATGGGATTATGACAATTGGACGGTCAGGCAAAAGACGATGTTGGATCGAAGACTACTAAATGCTCGACGATGCCACGCATCCAGAACATGATTCTAAGACAAGAAATACAGAGAATGCCTCTGACAACTTTTGTGCGTTTTGTGATTATGCTCTCGTGACGTTGAGCTTGGCCCGTGCATGAGGGGGAGCTTGCTCTACTGCGCCGAAGGAACTCTTGCAGCTGTCGCATTGCGTCGCTCATCCTTCCATTCTCCTTCAGTCATTTCGAAACAATTAACCTGAATGAATGGGTTCCTACGAAGCTCGATTTATTATTCCATATCACGGAATAATAAAACAGGCCATCAATTGTGCGCGACACCCTTGCTCACTAGCTCGAGTGGTACGACGTCACTGCTCTCTAGCGCAATTGGAACCAACCTTCCAGCCATCGAGGAGCTCAAAGTTTTGGTGTAAATCTTGAACAATGGTTTTCTGCAGTTCATGAACAAGATCGAATAAATACAATGCCCAGCACGCCATTCCAATTGAGAGAAGCAAGCAATTACAAACTCATGGAATGTCCTTCTAATTCGTTTCGTTCTCAGCTGCAAAGCTACCTACCTAACAAACACAGTACTGTTAGGTACTCCGCAGGTGTCAGAATAATTGACCATCATAAGCATAAGAATCGAAATAGTTTAGTCATCTTAT